TAAATGCGATGAAAATCAACACTTAATACAAACCATTCATACATTCAATCATAACTACAATCAACTCAAGAGTCAACACTTACCACAAGAAGTCAGAGAAGTACGGAATGACACGAATGAAGAGATATTTGTGGCCACAGATGACAATACACGCGATGGCAGTGAAAGTGAGACAAAAACCAAAGCAAATGGTAATCAAAATATGACTCAAAAGATGTTATCTTTGATTAAAACTAATCATTCATTTGACTCTTCATTAGTTGTATTGAAAACTACTGGAAGTACTAAACAAGTGGTGAAAACCGACGATAAGATTACCACCAAATGTGTGAAACTATTTTTCTGTAAACTGTTGGGCTGTGGAAAGCTATTCAAAACCAAAGACACGTTTGATCTTCACTTGAAAACCCATTCCTCGGAAGCCATCAATGGCTCGAATAACTCAAGTGTTGACACGAGTTGTCAAATCTCTTTACCACTGACTGAGACATCAAATAGTGGTACAAAATCTCTTAATCCTGAAGTGACTGCAAATAAAACAACTCTTTCGTCGACTTCACCACCAGTTGTGTCACAAAAGGGAAGTAATAAACGGAAACGACTTCTGGTAGCCATTGAACCCCAGAAACGATTCAAATATGATGTCAACGACAGTGGGGAACAGTTTACATATGAAGTAGAGTTGGATAACCCATTAGGAATTCATAACTCGACAAATATTCATTGTTTGGACACTAACTGCGAGTTTGTCACCGAAAATGAGATCCAATTGACTGAACACGTGGCGGACAAGCACTCCATCACTATATTGGAGTGTAATTACGAGTCATGCGGTCGTCTCTTACCATCTGAAGAGTTATTCACAGAACACGTGAAACTGTTCCACAAGAAGACGAATGTCACCAAAAGGGACGCAAAGAGTACTACAAAACGAGACGCAAACAGAGCCACTGAACCAGTATTTCGATGTACTTATGAATCTTGTGGTAAAATCTTTGTCAGAGAGAATGCCTTAAATAAACACATGTCTGTCCACGGCTTCAAATGTCTTATGTCGTGCTGTCAGTCCTTATTCGACAATAAGACCAGTCTTAAGGACCATATGGTGAGCTACCACTCAATGGTGCCCTTTGAGTGCGAATACAATTCATGCGATCAGATGTTTGCCTTTGAAGAGTATCTCAGGGAACACGTGAGTGAAAGGCATACGAAACGATTCGAGTGCACCGATTGCCAGAAGGTTTTCCGATCGGGTTTTGAACTCGAGTGCCACCGAAGTCTACACACGGGTCGTAAACGATTGAAATGTGGGGTCAAAGGTTGCGATTATAAGTGTAATTATAAGGACCAATTGGAGGCACATATGAACAACCATTCGGGTCTTAAGCCATTCAAGTGTACTATCGAGGGCTGTGGCAAACAGTTTCCGCGCAGACATGGACTTCAAAAGCACATCCGTTTTGTGCACAGTTTGGTCCGGAATTATGTCTGCGATCACGAGAACTGCAACAAAGCATTCAAATCCAGTTCCGCGTTAAAGCTTCATCAGAAGACGCACTGTAATGACGGACAGGTATACAAATGCCAGGAACCGGGATGTGGACAAGAGTTCGGGTCACTTAGTGGGCTATACGCGCATAAATATCGACGACACACTAACCGGTTATTCAAATGCGAATGGCCCGGATGTGATTATAGTAACCAATTTAAGAGTAACTATGAGAACCATATGACTGTCCACACGACGGACACGCCATTCCCGTGCCTGTCATGCGACAAACGATTCAAAACTCAGGCTCGACTTAGGGATCACACGCTCCTCCACCAGAAACCCAGATACCGGTGCGATTGGAAGGGCTGTACGTTTAAGACTCATATAAATGCCGTTCTCAACCGTCATATGAAAAAACACAAGAATAATAAGAATTATAAATACAAACCAATTAAATACAAATAGTTTTGTCTTATTGTAAATTGGTTTTAATTATTTGATAACCGATTGATTGTATTCTGTAATGAATGTGAAATTAAAATAAATGATTGAATAATCATAAGAAATTTGAGTCAAACATATGATTGACTTTAACAAGTCATATGAATGGACACAATGGTGTGACACCATTGGTGTCCGACTTTGAATTGCACTCAAGACTCTTGAGTCTTATAAAAAGTTTAATCTACTGATGAATTTGTTTGTGATTATATTGAGTGTAATAAATGTTTTTCGAGTCAACAGTTCTTAGACGATATAACAGAGAAATACATAAATGCGGCCAATAATTGAAATATCGGGGACTGGGATGTGATCGGATGTTCAAAGCAGTTGATTGTCTCAGTGTTTAGTAAATACCGGTTTTAAACACTTTTACAGTTTAGACACGTTTTCTATGGACTCTGTGTTTGCTTTGAATTTTTTGTTTACATTTTTGTCAAAATAATTTGATTTTTAATTTGGATTTCAACTAAAGATTTGATTTATGAAAACAATGTCTGAAATACTGATCAATGATTTGGTGGAAGAGTTGAGTGAAGAAAATAAGAGACTTTTAAATGTAATACAAATTGAGAGACAATTTGTGTGTATTTTGGATAACATTAGAAA